TATATATATATATATATTGTAGTGGTGTCAAACGATTAATCGCAATTAATCGCATCCAAAATATTTATTTTGTAAATATAAATACACACACATGCATGGATATATTTAAGAAAAAAATGTTACGTTTATATATTTATATATGATATAATTGATATGAATTTAAATATATACACATAAATACATGTAAATATTTTCAAAATATATGCTGTATGTGTGTGTCTTTATATATACATAATGAATATACACAGTATGCACACATATATTATATAAACAAAAGCGTTTATTTTGGACGCGATTAATCGCGATTAATCGTTGTTGTAGTGGTACTATCATATATTTTATAAATGTTCACAATTGAACTTGTTATATATTATTATTATATTATACATTATAATTACTTAAAATTATTAACAAATTTAGAGGCCTATTTTCAAAAAGATTATTTTCTATCTTAGATTTGTTTGTTTTTTTCTCAGGACGTAGTCATGTTTCATTTTCAAGATAAATAATTTGAAATATTGAGCTTTTCTTATGTTTCATATATATATTTGAATCTGTCTAAAGTTCTGCTGGTGTTTTGTGTTTGTGTAGGAGGAGTCTTGAAGACCAGCAGGGTGTGAAGCAGCTCTCGATGACGGAGCCGTTGAGCAGAGATGACATCCATGTGGCGTTCATATGCACGGAAAACACCAGCCATGAAGAGCAAATCAGGTGACACACCGACTTCCTCCTCACACACATAATCACTTCCTCCTCACATGTGGCAGAAATGATCATCTCTCCCTGATCTGCTCAATCTCAGGCAGTTTCTGGAGGCGGGAAAGCATGTGTGTGTTGAGTATCCCGTAACCCTCAGCTACGAGTCTGCAGTGGATCTGTGGAATCTGGCTCAGCAGAAAGGTGAGTTTCTGTCCTGATCTACAGCTGTGGATGCATAGCATGTCTTCTGGAGACGCCCGAGTAATTATTTGAAATGGTAGAAGTTTGTCTTTATATAGCAGTTACATGATATGATTCTGCCTGCAAGATGGCTGAATGTTTAACTTCTATACGGTATCTTCAGGCCTGGTGCTACATGAAGAACATATTGAACTCCTCACTCCTGACTTTAAACAGCTGAAAAAAGACATAGCTGGGAAAACTCTAGAGGAGGGAACGCTGCACTTCACAGGTAATGACTGTATAATAGTATGCAGTTCATCTTTTTAAAGGCTTCCTCCAGGGTTTTGAGTGATAGTGGGGTTTTTCTTCTCAGGTGGATCCCTGAAGCCAAATTTTGGGTTCCCGTCTTTCAGCGGTATTTCCAGACTGACCTGGTTGGTTGATCTTTTCGGGGAGCTCACGGTTACTGCAGCATCTCTGGTGGAGGAGAAAGACAACAAATACATGAAGATGACGGCACACTTACTGACCCGACAGCAGAAGTGAGTACACTGCATCCACAGACAGCGAGTTTTACAGTGGAAAAAAAATTATTCAATGTAATATTTGTTTTTAAATGAATACATCATTTTCTTAAATTGAAATTTAATTGATCTTAATTCTAGATATTTTTTTAGTGGATAGCTGACAAATAGCTGAGGTTAAATTATAATTTCTTTTTTAATTTTCAGTGAAACAGGTCACCATTTCATCAAGTTTTCCACATAATATGTAAAAAAAATAAAAAAATAATAAGAAATCATTTTTTTGCAGTTAAATTGTCACGTAGAGTGAGAAATAAATGTTTAAACATACTTAAAAACACACATTTTAGGGAAAAAAAATGGTTGCTTACTGGCGCAGGTCGAAAGATCCCATGCACAAAACTCCTTAATATTTCAGTTCTGACTCCCTAGATATAATTTGGGTCCTTCCTTCAGTGTAAGCCTATGGGATTTTTTTTACCTGTTATCATCTGTCATTTATTTATTCATTCATTCATTTTTAAAAAAATATTTTTTAATGAATAGCTGAAAGTAACATGGTGTGTATATATACAGTATATATATATATATATATATATACAATTTCATAGCTGAACAATATGGTCATGAACACAAAGATGTTAAGTTAAAATGTAAATGATTGTACTTAATGAAATTAATTTATATTATTTGAAGTAAAACTGCTCACCAAGGTTTTTACTTGATGACAAATGAATAAATATAAGTCTGATATTTGTATTTATTTATTTATTTTATCACCTGTGACACAAAAATCACAAGTTAATCAGAGATCTTTCTGACACAGGCCTCTAACTTGGATTGAAGAGCGGGGTCCAGGGCTGGGCAGAGCCAAACACATACACTTTCGCTTCCAGGACGTCACCATCACGAAGCTTCCTACAGGTCAGCAGGAGCCGGTCAGTCTGTTCATGCAGGATCTGGTGCTGTTCGGCCGGAAGCTGCAGGGTGAAGTGTCTGCCGCCGAGCTCCAGGAGGAGAGGAGCAGGATCTTACACTGTCTGCAGCTGGCAGAACGCATTCAGCAGCTCAGTGAAAGCACACAGGCCTGAACCTGAACCTCTCCACGCTGCATCTTCACTAAATAAGAAGAAATGAGTCACTGTGGGCATGAGTTCAGTCTTTTCCTACATGGAATTGTGGGATGTAGACTGTGGTGTACAGACAGACGACTAGAGTGGAAAATAATATGAAAATAATTAAATATATAGATTTATTTTCATTTAGAATTTTTTTAACAGTGAAAATCAGTTTGCTGATCAGTTGCATTTTATGGTATTTTGTTTCTATATACATATATATATATATATATATATATATATATATATATAAAAAAATTCCAGTCTTGAAAATTGAAGTGATTAAAAACATGTAATCTAATTCTATCAGCATAAAGTTTAACGTTTTTAATTTGTAAATGTAATTAATAGTTCTGTGTATATGTAACTAGTGGGCCACATCAGTATATGCAGTAACAGCTCATTCCTTTATTGTATCGTGTAACTCATAACTCTAGTTATTGATTAGTTATTGCTAATTTGTTATTCAACAAAAAGGGATGATTTCTGCTGACTACTTTTTTACAGTTTTGTAGATGAGTTGGTATTTAGGATGTGACTCGAACACTGACTGGTGCAGCACATTTGCACCAAATTTCAGACAAATGATCCTCCAGAGCGCTGTAAAATATTTATGGACTGTTGTTTGGTTTGATACATCATGTCATTAACATATTAACATCAAGTTACTCTGTTGACATTTTATATTTCTGTGAAAACTGGATGAGCTCTGTAAGTGTTCATACATGCTTTGAGCAAACTCGATTCATGCTGTGGTGACATTCTGTCATTCTTTCCTGTCTGTGCTCTCTCTGGGAAAGCACTGAATGAAGCAGATCATAATCGCAATTAAAATGCACATATTGTCAGGGAAGCATACAGAGAGGGAAAGAAATGTTTTGTGTCGAACTAATATGCAGTGTTTACGTTTGTCTTCATGTTTACATATTTGTGTTTTCAGTTAATAAACAAATTGTGCCTGCTTTATGGAGTTTTCTGCAGCTGAATCTGCACATTAACATATTAAGTGCAAATCAGAAGTCTGATAACCTGATTTTGTTTTACACATGGCCACGTAAAATTATCACCACATTGCAGAAAACAAACAAAAAAAACATCCTGTCCATGAACTACTTAAATGTAGTAAAATAGCACTACTACCATGGTTTGTATTTTGGTGAATAATTGAAATTATTAAAATGATTTTTTTTTTGCATTACGTTACAGAAATCAGTTAGGTGTATATGCTTAATTTTCTTAAAATGAAGCAAAAAAGGCTTAATTTTTTAACGCAAACCAGTAACACTTTACAATAAAGTTTACTAATTTAAGTATTATGAACTTTTATTATTGAACATTTATTAATCAATTTCTTATTTTAGTTAATTTGCACATATACTAAGAATTTTTTTGTTTAAAGTTATATAAATTAGTTACTTTATTATGAACAATATAATTACACAATATTAAAAAATGTACTACTTAATAACATGCTAATAACAAATAACTGCTTTGATAAAAGCTGTTAAAATTCTTGTTCATTGTTAATTCATGATACCTAATGCATTAACCACTGCTAAAAACTGAACCTTAATTTATCGTTACCATTTTTTTTTTGAGTTAAAATATGACTTCGATGAAATCCAGCATTTATAAAACACCCTTCCCAAAAGTAAAATATTGACCATATACAACTTTTTCAGTTTCAAAGTTTATTCACAAAGTCAGTTCTAATGTCAGTTGACAAGGGCATTTTTTTTTTTTTTTTAAGAAGTTGTGGTAAGGTGATTGCAACACTGTCATGTGCACAGATCCACAGAAATCAACTAACAAACTGAAGAGAACTATACATTTGGAAAGTGTCTCGCACACGTATGCAGTCAATTGCAACTATGCATTCAAATCAGCCTGGCTGAAACAGCACTTCTTGTTCCACATTGGACAATGTAGATTTCTGATACAAAAATAGCTTCAAATAAATTAAGTTTAACATTAAATCTCGAATATAAAGATACATTGTTTACTTGGAAGAAAGCAAAATAGGGAGCTTCAAAGAGCAACTGATTTTGGATCTGGTCTAGTTGAAACGTCTCTGGAATGTCTGAGAATGGAAGTACTCGTGTGCATCATCATCATCATCATCATCATGACTCATGTTAAGCTGGACAAGACACGTCGCTAAACACAACAGTAATATATATATATATATATATACACAGGGAAGAAAAATCAATGAAATAAAGGCAGACAAAAATTTGAAGTCGTAGATCACAGAATGTCTCAATCAGCAGTCAGTCTTTATCCTTCAACTGTCGCTCAGATCTTTCTGCTTGCTCTTATGAAAAGAGAAAAAAACATTCCTCCTGGGTGACCATCAGACCTGAGAACAGCAGGGCATTCTGGGATGCTTCTTCTGGAAGTCAAAGCGATGCGGGTTGAAGGAGATTAGGGTCTATGCAGGGGTCAGGGGGATTTCTCACGTGGCTTTCTGTCTATAATGAACGGTCAGGTCTCCACCGCTCTTCCAGATGAAATGCTTTACAGTCCTGAGGTCCATGTTTGGATCCAAAAGCTACAGAAGACAGCAAACATGAACAATAGAGTACGAACAAGCTTTTCACATTGTAACATGAGCTTGGTTTGTTTACTAATTAGGAGCACAATGCAAATTATATAATGCTACATGTAACATTCAATGCAGTGGAACATTAATAAGTATGTAAATAATGTTAAAGTAGCAGAAAGTCACCAAAACTGTAGGATTTACTTAGGTTCAAGTGTCTTTTCACACTGTTTAACTGGGGTTGAGGCCACTTTAACCCTGGGTTAATCAATGTTTCACACATGTCACTTTATTACGAAGGGTTACTGGTGTCACTAAAGCTGTGTGAATTGTAACAACCAATCAAAACTAAATAATGGTCACCTCATTTAAATTCTTTTCAGCATCTGGGGAAAATAAGTTGTTGAACAGCGAAAAATGAGCACATTGGAGTGACGAGGGTGTCTCTAGTATTTATTTTTTTTGTCTGGAGGAAGTAAAGATAGGAGGTCTAACCTGATCTAAACACATGAGCTTTTTATTACGAAGGGTTACTGGTGTCACTAAAGCTGTGTGAATTGTAACAACCAATCAAAACTAAATAATGGTCACCTCATTTAAATTATTTTCAGCATCTGGGGAAAATAAGTTGTTGAACAGCGAAAAATGAGCACATTGGAGTGACGAGGGTGTCTCTAGTATTTATTTTTTTTTGTCTGGAGGAAGTAAAGATAGGAGGTCTAACCTGATCTAAACACATGAGCTCAATCTTCTCTTCGGCCATCACCGCCACGTCTTCCTCTTTCTCCTGCTCTCCTGGTTTGTCATTGGCTGAGGAGCTGGTGGTCTGTGACTCAGTGTCGAGGTTGATGATCTTCTCGTAGACGTGTTCCATCACTTTCCGAACCTGCAGCATGTCGCTAGCGGACAAACGGTCCCTGAAAACAACAGATTTTGATGAATAATCAGTTTACTGAAGATCAAAATCCAAAATATTTAAATGTATAGTCCAGCCTAGTAATGTATAGACAAATGTATAGCCCAGTATGACTTTTTAACTAGAAATATTTAAACAGAATAAGACTTATTACAAGCATTTGATTATAGAAAACTTTCTTTATATACCATATTTTACAAATATAGCATACTTTTTGAGTGTTTTGGCCCCAGACGATGAATGCGGTTGGAGGTAGAACGGGAGCTTGTTGAATTTTGGCATGTTTTTCTGTAGCAGAAAAGAAAAGCAGTCAATATACAATCAAAAACATTTTTCAAGTCCATATGCTGGACACATAATGGGATGATTGTGGGATATGAAACGCTCACATCTACAGTGATATCAATAACCCATTGAGGCACAGTTTCATTCAGTAATGTGGACTCTGTCTCTCCTCCAGAATCGCGGCACAGTAACCTGGAATTGAAAGGAAACACGGCTTATAATGAAGACAAAATACAGGAAGGAAAGTCAGGTGAGTTTAATGAGTTCTTCATCAGTTCTGGACACTGTTATTCTGACCTAAACAACGTTCTTCCTCCTGCTTCACCAAAGATGACAGGAGTGTGTGGAGGAACCTGGAAGTAGCCGTTGCCCTTTTGAATTCGGCTCTCCTGTTCACCGTTCACTACAGAGAAATTCACACAGAAAATTATACAATCAGAAACCAACTGCATATTTCCATAAATTCCATTAGCTCGCAAACCAAGCTTTGCTCAAATAATTCCACACATTCTTTGCTGATAGGGAAATGTCAGTATACATTGTAAAGAACTCAGTGAAAATGTATGATAAGAAATGTATTATTAAATACACACTTATTAAAAATCTTATTTATATCAGAATTATTAGTATAAAGGCAAATTCTACTGAATTGCTACACAAGAAATAGGCAGCAAACTATGCTTTAAACAAAGCCATTATGCTTAAAAAAAAAAAAAAAAAAAAAAGGAACCACTACCAAAACAACTGCATGCATTCATGTGCATTAGGCAATCCCAGAATGCATTGCAAAAAAAATTCTAGGACTAACTAAAATAACAGAATAGAGTCAAAGAAAATTTGATTCACTAATGAAAACTATTAACAGGAGATAATTTCAAAATAATGATGATAATAATCAATATTGCCTTTATTAAAATATTCCTTTACAGAAAAAAAAAGAAAAGAAAACAAGTATACCATGGTTGAGTTCGATTTCCTCTTCTTCCATTGGGTTTATATGAGTTCTGGGCCAGAACTCTAACAGCGCCTGCAGGAGCAGCCCACCCAGGTTCACTGAAACACACGAATAAACACGAAGAATAGTTGTTACATAATTCTTACTGTCAAATTAGTCATACGGTCAGAATATGAATGATAAACACTTGTTTCACAAATCCGTTGTTTATCTGTATCATCATCTTGTTTTCTATATGTCCTTACATCAAAAATGTAGTAAGACTTGTTTAAAAAAAATTGCAAAATCAAAGGCATTTCTATCTTGATTTATTAAAGGTGATTTATTGAAGTGTGTAATTTCAGCAGCCCTAGTGGCACCAAATAGATTTACAAAAAATACAAATCATACAATTCTTCAAAGAAATTACTCAAAAAAGCATATAGTCTAGCCCCTATTTAATTGTGTTTTGCCTCAAGAATGTCATTTTTGCAGCATAAATATTAGATATTCAGCTAAAGAACAAAATACTTAGTCACAGCAAAACAACACTAGGCATTTAGAAGACATTACACTTTGGATCAGAGCCGTCTGGGCTTGTAAAACAAGCATCTTTAGCTGCCACCCATGCCGCAAAACAATCACTTTCATCCAGCGTGATAGTCAGCATCTGAAAAGCAGCAAGAACAGACCTAGCATTCATTATCTTTCATCTTCACCCTCATTACTAACCGAAAAACAAGCTGCTAATACTCACCCCTGTCTTGAGATCGACAGAAAACCAGTTCGGCACATAGACCATCTTGAACCTCTTTTTAATTTCTTCATCAAAGTCCACTTTACCCAGGTCTTCCCCCTTACATGCCTACAAAACACAGAATGAGATTAAATAAGAACTGGCTTTAAGATGCCACAAAAGCTTTTCATGATCTGTTCTTACCTTGAGGACATCCCAGAATGCCACACTGTTATTGGAGTCTTTGGTAAGTATGTGCCTCTTATCATTGAGAATATGACACTGAACGATGTTGGTGCCACCTGAAATTGAATTCAAGCGCTCAGTCAAAGATTAAATCAATTATAGAGAACAGTCGAGCACATTTTGATCAAGTGAGATTAGTAATCAGTCATTTAACGAAGGCTTCTACCCAAAGCAACAAGTTCCTTACAGTTTGCCTTTGGCTCACTCAGGGGTAAAACCAGCAACCTAATGGTTACCATCCCTGAGTTTTAAACCAATAGGCAACACCGATCTGACACTCAGGTGCCTGCTCTAGCAGGTCATTTACCTTTGATGACCTGCTCTGGCTGTGTACACAGTGCAGTTAAAGGGGCACTACAGTCGTTGTCATAGTCTCCGGATGCTCTGAAGTTCTGCATGCCTTTTAGAGACTGAGATTGACAAATAAACAAATACAGACAGATATGAGCTGAAGGAACGTTTTCATTCAGTTTAATATATAGTTCAGTCAGGCTGATGGGTTGTTAATGTAACTGATGATATTCAGAGAGTTAAAACGACTTGGCACAAGCTGATTGGTTCATGCTTCATACGCAGCCAATGAGCTTACTGCCTTGCATTTATATGGCTGGCTAGCATTCACTTGAGATTCCTGCAGCGCGCTTTCAGAGTTTCTCTGAAACCCTCCACCTTCCCCAGCTCCACCTGTATACATCTGCTACGGGATATTTTATATGCTATTTGTGCAGCAGCAGTATGTCTTAAATACTCATGGCACCGTATCACCGTAGTTTCCAGGAAACATATGTCGTAAAAACCGGAAACCGTAGCAAAACGGTGCACACCAGTTTGGGCTTGAACTTGCCCCAGGATTTTTGCGGAAATGGACATCTTAAGATTTCAGATACCGATTTTAAATCTAAAATAGTTCAAATGCCATCAAATTGCACATGACATAATAGCCATCCAGAGTAGATGTAAGATACAAAACATGACTGCTTGAAAAATTATGTCCAATATGAAATTAAACAACAGACTAAATAAATATATTGAATTCCAGTCAGAGCAAGAGACTTACAGTGCATAATCACATCCACCAATTTCCTAGAATAAATCAGATCTAAAAAAGTCACAAAAAACATCTGTTATCAATTTATTTTTGTAAGCTGAGGATTCTTTTTTTTTTTTGACTTAGTAAATCATTAAACATTTCCCACTGGCTTAACAGTCACATGTTTGTCTCTCTAAACTTTGATAGTACTGATCCATAGGCGGGGAGGGGGTCCTATCTGAGGTCTAAGGGTTGTCCCCCCTAAAAATATGATTAAAAACCACGCTGTGCATTGTAAATAACAATATTTTATACCTTAAATGATTGTGTAAGTAGTATAACAATAGAAACGGGGCAAAAATGTGTTTTGAGTTTAGAAACATTTTGAGTCTCCCCCTCCCTTGCCTCACAGTGCTTTGGTCCAAATGCCTGCTTTCCTCTTTTACATCACCTAGGCTGCAGTACACACACACAAAAGTCAGGTGAGAGAGAAGTCAGTTGTGGAACTCCAGTAAGTAAAGCTGTCAAGGCTATTTTATTCACTTAAACATGCGATGAAGTGATTATTTTCTCTTTAATACAGATGATGCCAATGTATTTTTCATTGAGTCGCTATGCTAGCAATAATAACGTTACCTGCTTGAGGGAAAGGGTTGCCAAGTTTTCATAACAAAACCCGCCCAATTGCTACTCAAAACTAGCCCAAACTATCCGCGTTTCGAGGGGGTTCTCCGGTATAAATCTCGTTCCAGGGGCTAAAATACACATTATTGGGGTCGCTTCAACCCGCGGCAACAGTGATAAAGTAGGAAAACCACGGACTTGGCAACACTGTGACAGATAGTAATGTCTACAATGGACACGAGCGCTGTCTCGGCCAGTGTTGCCAACAAATTTTCAGGGGAAGTTGCTAAAGGAAGTTCGATTTGTTGCTAAAAGTTGCTAAATGATGTTGTGATGTCATTGCGTGATGACGTCATTACGTAATCACGACACAAAATTGTGTCACTACATTAAAAAAATATATATTTTTATGTTCATTTAGATTTGTTCGTAAAATAATATAAATGCATAATATAATGTTAAAATATAAATAATTTTTTTTAATATACAACATTGAATTATTGAACACTTATACATTTTTGAACGATTACAAGTTTTTTTATTAGCTCGTAAACTAGTAAAACTACACATTCTGAACAATTATAGTTTTAAGCAGTGTATTAGTAGTCAGTATGCTACACTCTAAGAAAATAATTCACAGGTTTTTACCTGCATTTTAAATTACGCATTGTATTTTGTGTTTCGGGTTACAACGGATGATGGATAACGGATAATGTCCTGGAAAATTACTAGTACCTTTTACATTTTTCTAGATATTTTTCTTACAGTGTATACTAACTGATCGACAATCACAGGTACAAGCTACTAACGAGGTGTATCATAAATGAGCAATTATTAAATTATTATTATTATTATCAAATTGAACAATTACAAATAGCAGTAACTTAATTCACGTGATCTGTGTACTGCTATGCATCTTTGGTTTCCTCTTCTTGTGAAATTTAGATGGAAAATGTGTGCCTTTTTATTGTTTGAGCCACTTATCAAAATTTGCTAAAAGTAGCCAAATAAAATTTAAAAATAGCTAAATATGTTGCTAGGTGCTTTTGGAAGAAAAAGTTGCTAGGGTAGTCTGAAAAGTTGCTAAATTTAGCAACAAAATTGCTAAATTGGCAACACTAATCTCGGCGCGACTACAGCAGCTTGAAGTTGTCTAATTTGGCACAGTCTCTCTGCTGCACTAATAGTAGTAAGACTTTCCTCTGTGTATACATATCCTTACAAGTACCGTTGTTTCTGTATTATGTGTGACCCCTTCAAAAATGACTCTTAAGAAATTTTATGTTTATTGTTCTCCCTTTTTACTGTTAGACGAAATTTACACCCCTGTACTGATCAAACCATCAGTTCAGTTCAGTTTGTTGTTTTTGTACTTCTATTGAAGTGTTTTAATCTTTAATTTGTACTTCTGTTGGAGTGCTTAATTAATTCTTTACATTCATGCTTCTGTTGTTGAAGTGTTTTAATTCAATAAACATTGTTTTTATGATTTTACAATAAATAGCACAATCTACTATTTACTATCTATTTTTATAAAATGTATTCTTTTAAATTTTGAAAAATGTCCATGTGTTGTAAGAAATTGTATTATCTAAGCACAAACTAGATAAAAATGTGTGTCCCACTTTACCTGAAAAAGCCTGAAGAATAAAAATAGCTACTTATTATTCCTTCAAAAACGAATGCACATAGAGCAACACAGCAGACATTTGCCACAGCTGTTGATATTAAAGTGTGGATGAGGGGAATGTTTTAAATTATTACTAAATAACTACTTACTTAGGCTTATACTGTTATGCATTAAAAAAAATCTATTGCAGTTTAAAGTTTGTTAACTTGCACTATTTACATGTCGTCTGTCACTATTAAAGGGTTAGTTCACCCAAAAATGAAAATTCTTTCTCTAATTACTCACCCTCATGTCATTCCAAACCCGTAAGACCTCCGTTCATCTTCGGAACACAAAATAAGATATTTGTGATGCATTCTGATAGCTCTCTGACCCTCCCATAGACAGCAAGGGTACTACCACGATCAACGTCCCGAAACGTAGCAAGGAGGTCGGTAAAATAGTCCATGTGACATCAGGGGTTCAACCGTAATATTACGAAGCTACACTAATACTTTTTGTGCGCAAAAGAAAAAAATAATGACTTTATTCAACAATTCGTCTCCTCCGCGTCACCCTAGCGCCATTTTGGAGAGTATCCACTGAACGCAAACAGCGTATGTTGTTCTGTGTCAGCCACACCACACGGATACGTTGTTTTTGTTCAAATCAAAGCACAAACAACGTAGAAAACGTATCCATAGGTATATGTAAGTTATGCGCTAAAAAACTAAAACAAACTTTAGTTCATTCACCCAGCTTTATTTAGAATTTAAATCATCACACAATTTAACAAAACCTAGAACTACAATATGTCTGTGATAATGAGTACAAATCAAAAATATTCTATGTAGGTACTATAAGAGCTTTCTAAAGATTAAAGTGGTTAACAATTAGGAAACTATGGTGCGTTTTCATCTCTGGTAAGCAAAACAATGTGGTTGGCTTTTATTTATTTTTTTATTTTTTAAATTTTGACTTTTGGTTTTCATCCAGAGTAGATATAAGATACTACAACATTATAAAACAACAACAACAGTAAATATAATTTAGATTGTACATCACAGTCAAATTTATATGTTGTATTCCAGTCAGTGCTAGATCATTACATTTCATCATCACATCCACCAATTTCCTAGCATGGATCAGAAGATCTAATAAGTCACAAAAAAAATCTACGAAGTCACAAAAAGTCTCAAAAAAATCTACGAAGTCACAGAAAATCTAAGAACATCAACAATTTTGAAAAGTAAATTATGAAACATTTCCAATTGGCTTTAACAGTCATGTTTGTCTCTTTATACTTTGATAGTACTGATCAACGCATCTACAGTGCATCTAAATCAGGGGTGGGCAAACTTAGCCCTTCCAGGCCACTTTCCTTCAGAGTTTAGCTCCAACCCTAATCAAACACACCTGAACCAGCTAATCATTGTCTATTTGTCTTCAAGACTACTAGAAGGCTACAGGCAGGTGATTTTTATCAGGGTTGGATCAAATCTCTGCAGGAAAGTGGCCTGGAAGGGCCAAGTTTGCCCATCACTGATCTAAATGAAAAGCTCAGCAGTGTTTATAACAGGGCTGTCCAAACTCGGTCCTGGAGGGCCGGGTGTCCTGCAGAGTTTAGCTCCAACCCCAATTAAACACACCTGAAGCTAATCAAGCTCTTACTAGGCATAGATACTTCCAGTCAGGTGTGTTGAGGCAAGTTGGAGCTAAACTCTGCAGGACACCGGCCCTCCAGGACCGAGTTTGGACAGCCCTGGTTTATAACAAAACTATCATATATCATATAAAAGCACAATGTACTGCATATATCAGTTTGGAAACACTGTTGTGTGAAACAGGATGTACAAGTATCATCTTTAATCAGGGAGCTGACATAGTGCCATTTGTTTACTTTCCCATTACATGTATTTATCCAAACTCGCCAGAGCTTCCTTTTTTGTGTATCGTTTCCATTCATCTGGAATCTCACCATACCCCTGGAATGTCTTACTGTAGTATGTTTCCAGATCTTCCTGGAATCTGCACACAAACCACTTCCAGTATGGCAGCTCAGAGTTATCAGGCGTGATGCTCCAGTTAGCATATTTAGGACCTCCTCTTCTGTATTCTTTCCAGGGGACTGAATCATCTGAGGAATTTGGGCAAAAGGATCGATCACTCGATACTGCTGTTGTGCAGATATCAATAGCCAGGTTTCTTGTTCCTCTGTAAGACCACCCATTCAGTCCAATATTGCGGTGGAAAGGAACGCAGTGATCTCCAGGATGGTCTTCCATTGTGTTGGTGCAGATGACTTTACAGAAAGGACACTGAACCCAACAGCACTGACAGAAGTGCTCAATCAAAATCTCACCTGGTCTTTTCCTGCACTTCTCCAATTTCATGTCATTAATGTTTTTAAAACTGTTCTGTAGGTTTGTCATCCTCTCCTTTAGACAGTCACTCAAATATTTCTCAAGAAAATCCAAGTCTTTAATTTCACTAAGATCACCACATGAGTTCTCTCTGAGTTTCAGCTCATCTGTCAGAGCTGTGGTGAAGCATCTAAACCACATGCTACCATCTCCATTCCGACTCTTGACCTTCACTGTTGTGGCTTTCACTGCATTATTTACAATCTGCTCCTTTTGTTTTAGATTTCCTTTGAAAATATTTAGAATCATTTTGTTTTGGCTGGTGAAGTAGCTTTTCACTTCGTTCTTTATGAATTGTTTGAAATGTTCTCTGGGATTATGAATATATTCTATGTACTTCTCAAAGTCCTCCTTTTCTGCAAGGGATCTCAGAATGTGTTTCTCCAGATTTGGTCTGTTCTCACGTAAAGCTTTTATGTCAGACCTCATCTGTGTGGCCAGATCATTAGCAGTTTTGTTGTAAACTGCTTGTAGGATAGATGGTTCAAGTTTGCTGCAGATGAATTCACATAGTATGGTTGTTGTTGTTGCTCCTTTGTAGTAGTTCTTGAAGATGTTCCAATATTGAGTTTTCTGCTTATTAAGATAAAGTCTTGGGTCATTTGTTTCTCTGAATTCTTTGTGGAGTTCAGTAAAAGTCTGTCTGGCAATCTCACACACATGGAGACTCAGATCTATGGTAAACTCCCTTTTCAATTTGTATTTTTGGCTCATGGATTGATGTTTCTGTACTGATTTTTTAACACAGTCTGTTATTTCTTGAACAAAACTCTCATTGTAGCCTCGCGCTCCAACTGGTGACTTCTTTATTATCATTTCAGTTTCCTGAATAATTTTGTGAGTCATATCCCTTATTGAGTAATGAAGTTCAGCATTTAGGCCCATGTTCTCTTGTGGCTTTGGAGTCCATCTAAAATATCCTATACCTGACATGATTTTTTGACCGAACCGACCGAACATTCCATTCTTGCTTTTCTTAGAGCTCTCAGTAGCTTCCTCTGAAGATGCCGTTTCATCAGAGCACTCCAGATGCTTCTTTAGTATCATGTAGTCACAATAATCATTCCGGCAGTCTATCAGTTCATAGTTTTTTTGTTTTAAGCGCTCATCTACAAGAGTCAGTTCATGGTTTTCAGATAATATCTGTGTCACATCCTCCCAGAGGTTAATGTCTGTTAGTGGAGGTGTGTCTTTGGTCATTTCAGTGACCCATTTACTCCACATTGTGTCAAACTCCTCCTTAAGCATATGTTCATCTGTTCCTGTATTTTTCAGTCTCAAAGCTAGCTCCTTGCTCCGACTGAAAAGCTTGTTTTCATACTCTGTCCTTCTTTGATCCAGCTGCTCCCTGGCTTGTTTCTGTTCAATCGCTTCATCTAACTTTCTTTTTGTTCCCTTCACAAGGTCATCATGAAGCTCTTTGATTCTGGTTTCAAATCTTCCTCGCCATTGGCACAGAATGTCTTTGTCTTTGTCCTCCTCAAAGTAAGACATGATTGATTTTTCTACCTGCTCCTTTGTCATCCTCATGTCAGCCAACAAGTCATTTTCCTGAACGTTAATGCTTCCATTAGCAATTCTGTTGTAGAATTTGTCTTCAATGCCGATCATGGCACTTCTGAGGCTCCACGTCCAGTCACTGTATTTAGTTTCCAATTTTCTGTATACCGCAATCTCAAGTGTGTTTTTGAAGCTGAACACAAAGTTTTCATTCAGCAGTGCACTCCACAGATCATTAATACGCACTCTGAACTGAGACAGTGTAATGCCATTAGAATTGGAAGCTTTTGAGAGAATGGTGTCCTTTAACTCCTGAATATTTCTGCTGTAGTCGGGGTTCGGTGGTGCCATTGGTGGGCTGCCTTCCCAGAGCTGTGCAAAATACTTCACATCATTTTGAACGTCAAATGTAATGACGTCACTGAAAAACTCTGTATCACAGTCTTCCTCTTTAGCGGCGAGTTTAGTCATCTCATCCAGTTTCTCCTGCAGTCGTCTCCTTCCCTCCATGTTTTTCTCTCCAGCTGTAACATCAGAAACGTTCTGATGCACAAACATGCAGCTTGGATTCAGTCTGATCTTCTTCATCCTCATGAAGGCCTGAACAACAATCTGAAGAATGTCCTGCATCTCAGCTGTGTTTTCTCCGAAGACGTTGATCAATGTCATATTTCCAAGACCAACAACAAATGTGGCCATTTCATTGTCGTGATTTCTTGTTGCCCTTCCGGCCAGTTCTAGGGCACGAAGTCCTTCAGTATCAACAACTAGAATGTAGTCAAACTTCAGCTGTGCTTTCATCTCCTCCGACACTCTGACCAGCTGCATGAAAGCTCCTCTGGTGCATCTGCCAGCACTGACGGCAAACTGCAGTCCAAACATAGCGTTCAGCATGGTGGATTTCCCAGAGCTCTGAATCCCTAAAACTGACAACACATAGACCCTCTTGTCTCCCAGTTTCTGGATGAGTGCATCAAGAACAGCAGTAACCCAGATCAGAGGAACATGGGCAGCATCACCATCCATCAGCTCCAGAGGAAATCCAGAGATCATCATCTCTGCTGCAAGACTTGGAAGAGAGGAGAAGTTAAACTGGAGATCTTTTTTGTTTTTCTTTACAGATGAACATGATTCATATATCTGGCCGATCTCTCTCAGTATGTGCTCCAAGCCAAAAGTTGCAGCTTGTAGTTTCTCAGATACTCTCTCAAGTTCGTCTTGTGCTGCTGTCATTTGCTTCGATTTATCATGTTTCTTTTTAAGATTGAGGACTGTTGACCATTTTTCATCATACTCATGAAGAAGGGCTGAAAGACTTTCAGTAGTGTAATTGTCTAGAAGGATGCCCAGCCATTTAAAAAAATATGCCACCTCATTTCCTAGGTGTGAATTCAGTTTTTGAATATAGATTTGGATAAACTGACTCAAGACAGATGTTTGTTGCTGTTCACGGATTTTCATCATTTCTGATTGCTTAGAACAATTGTTTTTTTCTATGTTGCTTCCCTTATGTAGTTCTCCTAATGTAGGTCGATGAAGTTCTTTATTCTTCTGGCACCACTGATGCCACAGTTTTCCCTGCAATGGCAGAAACGATTCTTTGATTTTAGTCAGATCTTTATCCTCCAGTAAAGTCATCATCTGCTGTGCTGCCTGTTTTCCACTCCTGAGGTCTTCATCATTGTCCTCATCTACTCTGATATCAGAATATCTGGCCACGTCTTCAAGCTTGAAAATAGAAGATGACTCTAAAGACAAGAGCCCATTATTTATAGCTCTTCTGATTTCTTCAAAAACGACTGACTGATTTCTGTCTTTCAAACCGATTTTGTATTTCCCTTTCCGCATTTCTGCGAGAGCTGAATCATTGTCAGTAAGAAGGCAGATGAGTGGCTTTGAGTCCTTGTAGAAGGTTTGGATCTTGGTCATGCTTTTGTCATTCTTGTCAAGTTGTGGTAAAATAGCAACATTTACAGAGGCCATTTCAGTCAGGATACCCAGCTGCTTTTCATGGGCTCCTGCATCACCATGGAGGTTACAGAACGCAACACAATGAGTAAATCTGTCTGTTTTCTCTCCAGATGGACAGTACCAGGCAATCTCCACCACTCCGTCCATCAGCACTCTGGTTCTGCTGCTGCCTGGGCAGTTCCTGTGGAAGAATGTGTTGTGTTTCTCATTGATCAGGCTGTTCATCAGCTGAGACTTGGATGAGGATGCAGGACCAAAACTGAAGAAAGCCACCATTGGGGTTTCTGCCTTGTAGACTGGCAGGTATTTGCTAGAGATTTTACCTGTATCATCAATTGTCTTCCAGCTCTTGTTAATTTGTCGAAATGTCCAGAGTGGGAACTCAATCTGTTGTGTGAATGGATTGGGTACAAGCAGAGGCAGAGCATACTGACACTGTGAGAGTTTAGTCACCATAAGCTGCTTTAGGAAACTATCAGCACAATGAAACACAGCCATCTGAACATCCATTAAGTGGACTGCATCTAATTTGTTTGTTTCATCTGAGGGTTTAGCAGTTTCTCCAAAAATAGTATCAAAGGCATCAGCATCATCTTCAGATGAGTCATTGTTACTTTGTTGTGTGTGATGTTGTTCATTATTCTCTTTTATCTGGAGGTATCTTGCTCTGTAGTCCATCATCATCAATTTTTGTAGAAAAACTGAAGCCAGCTCCTCTTCTGCACAAGAATCTTGGGACTGTACAATTGGCTTAAGAAAATCTACAGTTCTCAATTTCTGATGTTTTCCTTTAAGATTAATCCTGTCAATTAGTTGCTCTGCACCCTGTTGAAAGTACCATAATACTTGTAAATAGAAGTTTGAAAAGCCATGGAAAAGAATGTTAATTTGTACACTTTCTGATAATTTAATAAAATTTAGAACATATGACAATTATAAAATATGCAGCCTGATCTCACTGTTAGGCTATGCATATTTGTATGTATTTGCAGGTACAAAAACATACATATTTGTACATTTGAATAGATGCTGAAACTTACCAAACATTTTAATGACAGCATCTAAAACATTAACACTATTACATATTTACAGCTGTAGAAACATAAATCTGTTATCATCAATATCGTAAATCAAAATTGTACTATTTTTACATATATTTTAGATCCTTTTCTCCTACCTTCAAACCTAACCACTTTTAAACAATATAAAAAACACAGATAAATGTACAGTGACAATTATTTTAGAGCTGCTAATCCTACTCCAGATGACGAATTGATTACCCTTCAAGGTGAAAATATGAAAAACTATATATTATTTATATATATATATAATGTATATATATTTATATATTATTTATGCATATATTTCTTACCTTTTGTTTTTCTCCTTCATTGGTTAGATCCAAGCTCCCCAAAGGCTGTGTGATAGTGTCACCGATGCTTACTTCTATTTCTGCACCTTGATTTTATGAAAACAGAGTAAAAGATTCTTTGGTAGATCTTTTGAAGAATTTTAAACGAACAGCACGATCAGACTTCCGATTCAAGTTCCAACTCCGCTCAGTTAATTCTTTAATGCAGGCTAATTCAAAAACACCAATGCTGACTGAGCCATTAACAAATGACATAATAAAATAAAGGCACAAGTGGCAATTATGAACAGCAGTAAATTCAGTCATATCTTGCAATATCACATTAAGTTTGGACATTGTGTTCAGCAGATATATGTCGATTTGTATAATTGTAAGAAGAAGTTGACAAGTGCTTTTTCTTTTTCCAAAAATTTTTAAATGGAGGACAATTTTTCTCACAGTGAATTATAATTGTTTTTATATTTTTTTTTACTCTAGCCCTTATGGTTCCAGAGTTCTGAAATAAAACATAAATTATAGCGCCACTTAGTGTCCAACGGAGTAGTAGCTCAAACTAATGTTAAAGTTCCCTTTTGGTCATGTTATAGTGCCCCTCTGATCTGGCCAAGGGAACATGATTTAATTTTGCCCCTGCCCAAGCGGAGGTCTGTGCACACCACTGCTACAAATAGTATTGAGATCATGTTGAATTAAAAATTTTGAGACTTAATTCCACTAACAACTTCCATATGAATTAAAATATAGGAAAAGGACATGACATGTGGCCAAGTATGGTGACCCATACTCTAGATTTGTGCTCTGCATTTCACCCATCCAAGTACACACACACACACACACAACAGTGAGTAGTGAACAAACACTCACACACACACACTGTGAACACACACCCGGTTGCTCAAGGGTCTCACCTCAGTCATGGTATTAAGGGTAGAAGAGAGCACTGGTCATTCACTCCCCCCACCTACAATCCCTGTTGAGTACCGAGACTCAAACCCGCGACCTTTCGGTTACAAGTCTGACTCTCTAACCATTAGGCCACAAAAGGGAGTTAGTAAGACAAAAATCAATATAGAGTCTGTGTTACCACTTTGATACTCACTGTTTTGTGGGTCTCTCAAAGAGCTGTACATCTCTCTGGTGTAGCACTGCTGATTATT